ATACCAAAATTATATCCCCTATGTATTAGCAACCTTACTATTACCCTTAGTATTAAGACGTTTAGTATCTAAATGCCCCTTCTGCTTAAGGTGGCCACCATTTTCTTCTCATAGTAGTCATGTTGTTTTATGACATGCAAGGTCTCAGTAGGTAACAGTCCATCAACAGTCCAGTAGAAACCCAGTAGGTAACACTCCATCAATATCCAGAATTGAGGAAAAGCTGTACCTGTTGAATGTACATATGTTCACCAGGCCTTTAAGGGCAGAGCAGAGTTTGTTCTTCACTCCATAACTCCCCTAATATTTCTCCTCTAACACCATTACTGATGGGGTACATACATCTCCAAAGAAGAGTTTCCCCAATGTTTCTTATATGAAACAGTGAACAAGTGAAACAGTTACAAAAGTTTGTGTTGAAAAGGGCTGAATTGCCAAATTCAACATTCCTCAGATGAGATAGGACAAGGATGCCTGTCAGAAGTTTGAATTAACCTTTAAGATGGGGAAAAATCTATTCATGCTGGGGCAATAGAGGCCTCGTGATAATATGTGTTTCCTGAAGCAAGAAAATTAAAGCTTCTCGTGCTTCTTAGCAAGATCATATGACGGACTCCTGATTCCTGCAAAGAGGCATTTTCCCAGGAATGTGCTGGTTTTCTAAAGGATGCTCAAAGACTTTCCTGTTACATTTGGCTCTGAACCCTTTTGCATAGAGTTGCTTTTAATTGGTTGAGGAAATGTAATGTGAGAAGGAGAGAGAGAGAGAGACAGAGAGAGAGAGGGAGGGAGGGAGAGAGGGAACACAGATTTTGTGTGACATTTGCATGTTCTGTTTTACATAGAGAGTTGCAAATTTAGAAATAAGTTCAATTAGCAATATGGTTCATCTGTTTCAATAGCAGAAAAGACTGTGATCAGGCCAAGGAGTACGCTGAATCTTTTTTTTCAGGGCAAAACACCCAAATAATAATAGTTTTTCTATTTGCAGTTGCTACTCTGTAGGCATATGACAAACAAATGCAGCACAAAATTGGCTGTGTTTATAACATCAGGAGATGGTACCCTCTACCGATAGACAATGAATCCCATTATTCTATCCTTCCTTAGAGTTCTTTATCTTTAAACTGGACCTGAACTGGATTAGCCCTTCAGTTAGAGCAGTGATCCCAGGTGGCATGTGACCTCAAAGTCTTTTTCATGGCAGTGAGTCACAAAACTCTCCAAAATTCAGCAGTGCAAGTATGGAAATTAGTGGCATGATTCATTGGGGAGAAATACAACAGCCAAGAAAAGCCCCTAACCCCAGTCCATCAATGGGAAAAGAAACAGACAATCACAGCTCTACCTATATATGTGGCATGATTGGGTCAAATTTGCACCATTACCCCAGCCAACACAGTCTTGACTTTGACCAAAATTGTGAAATGTGGCCATTCCTAAGTTCAAGGATTTCTTAAAGCTTTACCATCTGGTATATGATCTTTGTTAAGAGAGGAACATGCCAAGGAGCCTTGTTCAGATGTAATCTCGGGAGTCTTTCCCACATCTGCTGAGTTGAAGTGCTAATCACCCAATCTTGCATCCATCCATCCATCCATCCATCCATCCATCCATCCATCCATCCATCAATATTCAATCAATATTATTTAATGGTATAACAAAATAGCACAGACTTTGGCACTCAGCTGAGAGACTCAAAAAGATCTCTAAAATCCCTTTTCCTTATTGCTAAAAATAATGTTTTATTTTAATGTTTTTTTTTCATCACTGATATACTAAGTACTAACTCTACAATTTCTGTCACTTCTTTGTCCACTTACTGATATTATATCTTTGCATCTTTCCTTCCTTCCTTCCTTCCTTCCTT